GCCGTTTGACACTTTTTTGTTCTTTACTTTTTTATTCCGCGTACAATGGGATCTACCTAACAACATAATCCCATTGTTACTCACTACAGAGTTCCACCTAATGGCAGGTCAGCGACCCCCTTCTCCCAGAACTGAGCAGACTGAGAGTCAAAGAAATCGCTGACCGCTCTTTCAACGTCTTCAACTTTGGTGAATTTTTTCTTCGCTAGGAATGCCTTGAGGGGATGAAATAAGTGATAATCAGAGAGGGCAATGTCAGGGGAATAGGGTGGGTGGGGAACCGCGTCCCAGATCAGCTCTTCCAATTTCTGCACGGGTCTCTTTAACTTTGTGGGGCCTGGCGTCATCGTGGAGTAGGTGGACAGAAGTTCGTCTCGGTCGTTTTTCTTGAACAGCGTCCGCTAGTTTCTAGAGCTGACTGGCGTAAATGCTGCCGGTGACGGTATGTCCTTGCCTGAGCAGCTCATAATACAGCATTCCTCACGAATCGCAGAGTAGCAAAGAAGAAAGCTTCTGGGGTGAAGGTCCGATTTTGCTTGCGTCGGCGGGTCTTCTCCTCGAGGCAGCCACACGGCACTGTGCTTGTTAGAATCGTAGGAGGACCACACTCTCACCTCCCGTTATCAAGCCTTCCAGAAACGCCTTTCGGTGCGGACAAAGAAGGAGAAACTGAGAAATGGGTACCCGATTGAACCGCGTGCTATCGGTCAAGACATGAGGGATCCATCGAGTCAGCACTTTCCTGTGGCGAGGGCGTGGAGGGGACCGAGGACTGTGGGATGGGTGCACCCGAGTCTTATCACAAGGCTGCGGGTGCTAACGTCCGGATCCTCTTCGACAGCGCCGAGAACGGTGGAGTCTTCCACTGTTTGGGGCTTCCCAACCTTGTCTTGTCTTTCGGAAGCCGTGTCTCCTCCTTCGAAGCCTGCGAACCAGAGCTTGGCACTGATGATGGAAGGGTGGTGTCCCTTCCCAATGCGATGCTTGATAATGTGTTGAATGTTTTCCACTGCTCCGCGCTGCCGCAACGCCATTCATTGAAGATGATCGCTCGGAAGTGCTCTTGTGGAATCGACATCATGATTAAAGTTAAAGAAGGCAACCCGGCTATATATACCTACTGCGGAGAAGTATGATCGACAGCGATAATCTATCACGTAGCAGATTCTAGGTATCATCAATAAGCGAAAGTTCTGGAGCTTTCGAAAAATCGGCTCAGGACTTTCTTACCATCCCAAGTACACGAATGTATTCAAGCGGATGTACTATTTGGCAGATGATGATTGCAAATAATGAATTAACCCTGCAATGAGCAAGAAATCTCGGCGCACCCTAAATATAGTAGTTCTCTTGTGAACTCACGTTACGAATAAGAGTTCGCTGTCGGCGTTTCTGGGAACTTCTTCCATTGACAATGCGAAGCACAAAAGCCCAATTCACACGGTCCGATGATGACGGACGAGTTCATATGCGGCAGGTCCATGATTGTAGTTTGTCATGCAGATAGATACGATCGCTCCTGCCAACATGAATACACTGAAATATCAGAAACGAACACTAAATTCGGCAATTGTTCAATGCATTAGTGATTTTGGGGGCGTTGCTTGCGAATTTTTCTAGACAAGCATAATATACTAAAGCGCGGCGAGTACTCACAAGTGTCGACCGAGACTTTTTACACTCCCTTGGTCATTTTTATGTGCCAGCGAATAGAGTTGTTAATTCGTTTGGAATGTAGTGCATACGGCATTTGACCTCTACAAGTAAGGTTTAACTAATACCACCAAATGACTTAAAGTATTTTTGTGTAGACAAAGCTAACGGAATCGATTCTTAACGAGTGTGCACACTGAGACTCGCGACGGTGGGGTGGTTGCAAGTATGAACCGGCTCATTCAGGCAAGAAGCTGCTGTGTGTGCACGCAGCTGTGGGCAAGAAACAGAAACGTAATATGGGCTGTTCGGTTTCCGTGAATCTTCGATCTTCTATAATTTCGTCTTGAGTAAGAATTTTTGAAGCATTATTCCTAGGCCTAATCAGAATGATTGGAAGAGATAACGTTTCGGATCTGCTTATATCGGGATCAGAGTCCATTTTCCGTCGCAGATGACAATGCATTCCGAACGCTAGTAGTTTTCGTTACGCAAAACCGGTGGAAACGACCTCTTGGGACAATGGTATTGCTGCTGCTTCCATCAACCCATGCGGAAGGCACCTGTTCAGCTTTTTCATCTCTCCAATTATGAGAGCCACAATATTTCCAATATACCTATTGGTCTATAGCACAGTTAGACTGGAATCATCTTTTTACGAGAAACCTTCAGCGAAGCCGTCATCGGAAGGCCAATAGCTACTCAGCTCATTCCCATCGGAATCTTCCGGATCATGTTTCGAGTCAAAGCTGGCGCGCTTCTGAAGGTGCTCTTTTGGTCGTATCCTTCAATGTTACTTCGACAAGTCTACGAAGCCCTACGTCAGAGTTTCAAGACATCGAAGAAAACTCGCCCAACCACTGTTTTGACGCCTTCAGTTCAACTCTATAAAAAATCTAAGTAGCAAGTAAATTGAGTTCAGATTACTGGATGAAAAGCAAATAGAATTATGCTATGTTTCCAAAGACTATAGGAGCTTAGCAGGTCTCAAAATTAGTTTTAGTACAATACTCCATAATAAGTATGCAAGGCATCTCGAAACCCGCACTACTTTCCGTATAACCTAGTAATTTCTTTGGTGGGATAGGATGCGCTTTTCACGAAGATAGAAGGTTGTATCCTTCTAGCTACTCGGAAAGCAGGGTCAACCCTATCGTTGTTACTTTTCGAAAAATTTTTACGACCCCCCTCCCCCAAGGTGGATTTGGTACGACCCCCTTCTCGACCCTCGACCACCATATTCCTCTCTATAGTATTTAATTCTGGTACCACTCAACCCACCAAACTCCGCCCACTTTTTCCTCCAAAAATGCCGTCGAGCGGGGGGGGTATATAGTCACTCTGAAACAGTAAAAATTTACCATAATTCCCTAAATTTTTCAACCTAGGTTCCGGTAGTCCATAATCCACTACCCTAAAAGCTCTACAAACTGCATCCATCCTAGTCTAGGGGGACGACTGCGCGCCCTCCCACTCGCACAAGCCTACTACCCACGAAATCTTAGTTTCACCTCAATCCCACACGTGATTTCGAGCAACTAAAGTGGGTACGACCCCCCCTCCTACAAACTCAACCAGGTACGACCCCCGACCCCCCCGTTGTTACTCGTAACAACGTAGGGTTGACCTGCTCGGAAGTGTGCGGAGTGCGCAAAGAGAGCGCTTTAAACACTTCCACCTTCTCTCACTGCACATTTCAGGAAGGTTTATTCGAACGAACACTCAATCGCAATGATGGTTTTAATGCGAATCCAACTAGGAGCGCTCACAAACAGCGCTATCAATATTTGTGGAATGATAGATGATCGTAATTTACCTGAAGCATTTTTGGGATTCCTCTGAAGATCGCATTCATGTCTGGGTACTGGGGATGATGTTCTACGAAATCATGATTCTGCTGGATTGAAGGGCTGCTGCCCATCCTGAGAACAGCAGCTAAACAAAGACTTATTTCAATCTGAAATCGATTCAAAGACGTTGTTAAATAATTTTGTGAACGTGGACAAACGGACCAATAATTATCAACAGAATAGTGGCACAATATGGAAATCGTGCGCATTAGTGAATTCTTCTACCATGTCTTGTTCTTAATCGTTAATATAACCTGCTTTGTGTACTGCTGCGCCATGCTTGTCAGAAATCAGGGTGTTCCGTGATCGCTCAGCGAAACGCTATCAAAACGACCCCAGATTCGCCGTTACCCGAGGCACTGGTGCTTGCGCGTGTGATCAGAATGAAACACTCGCCGTCGCAAAAAATCAGTTTACCGGTCTGAAGGTTTTTTAGAAGGTCAAGAAGTACATACCGATCACCGCTTGAAGTTGGTAAGGGGTCTTCGGGCTGCATCTTTTCATAGCTCTCCAGGGCGATAGAGATTGACTGGCTACTGACTTATGATGACACTGGAGCTTCAGCTCTTAATCAGGGTTACTACTTTGAGGATATCTGTATTACATTGACGACAACACAAGACATGTGGGACCATGCGGAACTTATGCCTTGCAGCTATGTTACGGGTACCCCCCAGGAGGCCCGTCGCGCGGCAAGAAGGCAGAGTCGGCGGACGAGTCGCAGCGCGTGATGTGCGATGTAGGACGTGCAATGGACATTCTATTTAACTTGACGCGAATTTCCCTAGTACGCGCGAACTCGTCCGCTGACTCGGCCTTC